TCATGGATTAATTGGGGGAGTATCTCATACCTTAAGCTTGTTTTTCTTTACTCCAATGTTCATTATCGATTGACATTGAGGACAATGTCTTTTTTTGTTTGGGGGGTAGAGAAAATTTTTGAAAGTATTTGTATGTTTTAATTAACTTTTATCTTTGTGTGTTTTATTGTTTTTAGGTTGGGTGTTGATTTAGTTTGTTGCCTAAATGATTTGCATAAGACCATGATGAGATTTTGATTGTTGGGATTTTATTTATAGAAAATGCGAAGCATTGCTTCAAGTTTAGGTTGGTTGACTTGATTTAGCTTGAGGTTCATTGAGTGGTTCAACCACCATTTTCATTCTTTCAACATGCTTAGAAACATTTTATGTGGTTAGGTGAAGTCTTGATAATGTTGGTGGACTCTAAGACCCAGTTAATAAGTGTTTGAGGCGAAATTCTAGGATTAGACATTGTTGAGGAAATGATTTAGGCATTTTTCGGAACGTTTGAGCCTTTCCAGCCGACCCATGAATGAATCCCTCCCTAGTCACCCATTTGAACCTTATGAGATTATCATTGTCTTATTTGTCTTGCAAACCAAAAATTGTCCAATCCCTGTACCCTAAACACTTTACCTTTACTAGTGCGACTTTGTCTCTCAGCCATCTCAATCTGCTTAGGTGTACGAGACAACTATATATAAATAATAGTTGCATGTTCGTCACAATACTGATTACCTCAAAATTTATTTATAACCTTCAACTAAAGGTTTAAACAAATACTTTGAAACCTTTCAAGACTCATATATGAATCATGATATATAAAAAAAAATATAGCAAAAAAACCTTCCCCTTAAAAGAGATAAAGGGATTGTCAAGAATAAACTAAAGTTTTATTTATTTAAAAAAAAAAAGAAAACTTTTATGCAGAAAATTTTTAATCTTGACAATTTTTAACATCTTTAAAACATGGTTTCAAAATTGCTAAAACAAGCATGAAGAAAATCTTCATCTTAAAAATTCACATTTTCTTGAACAAATTTCAGAGATAGTCAAGGAAAAGAATTCAACTATATGTAGTGCATCAAGGAAGGAGTTAAACAAAATTAGCATTACAAATAATAATAATAATAATAATAATAATAATGATAATAATAAATAAAAATAGAAAAATAATTTTCCTGTATCCTTCCTTCATACAAAAATGTACACCTTTTTATCAAAGGATCTCAATTTCAACATATTACCTTGATTCTCATTACAAGCAAATTGAGCCTTTAAGAAATCTAAATAAGACAAAGCTAATAAGGACATTCGCACTTTTATCAAGAACAAATTCTCTTCCCTTTGAAGACAAATATAAAGATCAATTTATTGAATCTCATTTGTCTATTTAAGTGTTAAAGATTATCTTTAACCAATCAACTGCATGGGGAGAGTCGTATGGTAAGATGAACAAGAAATAACTTAAAAGGAATATCAATACTTTATTAATAATATATCACCATGGGGTTATTATTCTCACAGGATCTCAAGTTGAAATATTGCACACTTACCTTATGCATGGAATGTAACAACTAAATCTCATAATAAACCAATCAACAATAATGCCCAACTTTCGGATAATTAATCTCATTTAGGATGAAAAATTACCTTGGCGATACGCTACTATTGATTTACCCATGGTTTTACTATAAAATACACAAAAAACCCTTTGGGTAGATTACTGTATAAGGAATCAACCTTCCCAAATTAATGATACAGAAATTTATGAGTATTAATAAATGGATTGCTTTGGAAATTACCGTTTATCTCACCCATAAATCCTTCAAACATAAAATTCATGTACTTAACAACATGCACATAAATTCACTTTAACATATTCCCACAAATACACAATCATTCATGCATATATAAAACAACAGTAATAATAAATTATGAAACATGGGAATTATGAAATTTTCTTAACAATAACATGATTTATGGAACATTCTCAGGTCTAACTCAATATCTTGAATCCACCACTTAAAAAAAAAAAAAAAAATGATGCAACAATTCAGCATTAGAAGCAACAAATAATAAAAATAGCTTTAAAACCTTATAAGCTATTTTTTTTATAGAGATTCTCAGTACCATTAACTCCCCTTTGGGTAGAGAAAATGACATGCTATTACTATCCCAGGATTATAGATAATAAACAATTAAAATAGCTTTAAACTTCATAAGTTATTTTACATAAGGACATTAGGTACATCACCGTTAACTCCCCTTTGGGCGGAGAAAATGACACGCTATTAGGATCCCAAGTATAAAACTATAGGCAATAAATAATCAAAGTAGCTTTAAAACTTGATAAGCTACATCTTATAGGGATTCTTGGTGCATCATCATTAACTCCACTTTGGCAGTGAAAATGACATACTTTTAGGTCCCTACACATAAGGTTATCAAAAATAACTAATGAGAACATGCGATATTCAAAAGACTATTGCCCTTTTTGGGTAGATAAAACTTTCTAGGTCATAGTTCATCCTCCACTTAAGAGGAAAATGCATGTCAATTGAAAAATCATCCACTTATATGTGTATTGAATTTTTCAGGACCAGTGCATTTCCCAAATTCAACCTTATGCAACCTTTTAATTTTAATACAAATAATAACCTACTTTGGCAGGAAATTATGTGCATTAAAATTGAAGAATGTATCATTTTCCAAATGAATAATTTTACAAGTTTCAATGAATGCTCTGCTTTGGCGAATAAACATTCCGACAACTCAAAAAATATTCTCATGATACTGAGTAATATTTCCATAAACTAAAACAATGTATCATTTATCTAATGAAAAATCTTGCAAGCTTCAATGAATGTATCGCTTTGGCAATTAAACATTCTGACGACTCACAAAATTGTTCTACTGATACTAAATGATATTGCCTTAAATACTAAGATTTCTGAGATATACACTTAATTATCTCTAGCAATCTTAATTCAATAACCTTTTTGGATTTTAATAGTCATAATTAAGATTTCTCGAGATATAAAACCTTATTATCTTTGACAATCTTAATTTGATAATTATTCCAACCAAAAGAACAATCACTCCTTATAAATTGTACTCTATATAATTGTTGCATGTGAATGGAGTATAACTTTAAAAACAATAGAGGGAAATATGATTTAAAGGTAATTTCATCTTCAACGGTACTAGAATAGGCTCACGCGCAACCACACGCATCGAAAAAACAGTCACACGCACTCTTGCATGCCAGAAACATCATATCACGTGTTGACATGCCCCCATACATGCTCGCACGCGTTGCCACGTGCTAGAAGATCAACTTCACACGCTGAAAAACACGATCACGTGCTTGAAAAGAGTCTCACATGCATTCACGCGCTTCCACACACCTATATATCACTTCCACGCGCCTTCATGCGTTAGAGAACTGTACCCACGTGCCTCCACATGCCCGCATTCATCTCCACGCACCAACATGCTTCCACACACGCGGTCAATGACCCGATTTGACTAGGTCGAGTTGACCCGATTGGACTGGGTCGCGGGTCGCTATGACTCGATATATACGATAATATTGTTTGCCCCATGAAGGTTTATAAAATTTCATGTAGCCCCAAAAGTTTTATAAAACTGCATTTTCACCCCTACAATCTAAAAAAAAACAGATCTCAATATTTACACTCTAAAGGCCAAAATTCGTCCCTTTATCACCTTTAATGGCTAGAAAAGCCTTTCTAATGGCCAAAAAAACCCATTATGGGTTCAAATTATAGAAACCCCAAATTGGGATTATCTAAGAATTAAAAGAAAACCTAATTTATACAAGAACCCTAATTACACAAAATTGAATAAGACCTTGATTTCAATTTTAAAAAATCCAGATCCTATAATCTAAAGTGTTTGGCTTTGATACCACACATTATAAAATTAAAACATGAATTCTACTTCATTCTATTGACAATGTGAATAGAATTAAATTAAAAACAACATCCAAAAGATCAACACTTAAATTATAGAATGCTAAAATTTATAGTCAAGGGTTATTGACAAACTTGGTTGTGCCATGATTCTTGATCTTTGAATTTCTTAGAAGAGGAGCGACTGTTTTTTCCCCAAAAGGTAGAGAGCGTAAGTCTTCATTTCCAATAATGCAACCTAATGATAACTTCCAAAATGGGTTTCAGTTATCTTTTATCTCATATGGAAAGGGGACTTAGCCAATTTAATAATAGTTTGTTGGGCCCTCCCATTAAAGACCCAATAAACCCTAAGGCCCACACTTTGTTGTCAATCCAGATTAATCAAATGAAGTGTAATAGGCTAAACTTTAATATGATCACATTAAACCCATTAGTAAAGCAGTGGCCTATCAATTTACCCAGTTTTAATCAAAACTAACATATAATTAATGTTAGCTCACAGTTAGAAAATTTTCTTAATAGGAAATGGTACTATGATTGATAGTTTGTTTAAAATTCATTTAAGTGATACTGTTCCTTATAGTTTAATGTCTTCATATGATAGTACTGGTATTACATTACTAGAAAAAACCCCTTTCTTGATGGGTAATAACTGTCAAGAAGAGGGTTTCTTGATAGTTCTTCACCCATCATTGAAGCCAGTGTCAAGAAAGGGTGGTGACCATCTTTGAACTGTCAAAAATTTCTTGACAGATCTCTTGCCAATTATAACCCGTCAAGAATTTAACTGAATTTTAACCAATCCTTGACAGTCTTCGAATTGTCAAGAGATTTTAACAAAAATAAAAAATGAAAAATTTAATTTAGTAATAATAATAATAATCAAATTTTATTAACAATAATTTTTCATCTTTGATAGTCTTAAACCGTCAAGGAATTTTTTATTTTTATTTTTTGTAATTAATTTATTTTCCTGATTATTACCAATTAAATAATGGAATAATACAATGAAATTCTTCATAATATTCCTCAACCAACAACAATTATCACAATTCATAAATAAATTTAAACATTCAACAATCTTTCAATTAATTTAGTAAACAAAATTCAACAATAGTAGCATATCATTCAACAAAAGTTTGATACATATTTCTTCCATCATTGACGCCTTGACATCAATGAAACATCAATAACTAAAAAACGTTTGATACGTACATCGTCCATTCTCTTCGATCTCTGCATCTATGTATATTTTTTCCCCCATGAACTATAAAAGATTAAAAGTAGATAAATTCAGTACATAGTTACAAATAATGAAGAATAAAATAATAAAAACCAGAAACTATTGGAACCTTACAAAGAACTTACTCACCCATGGTAGCTAAGCTGCGGTAAATGTAAACAAACCCAAAAAACTCATATGGATGAAAGGATTTTGTTTGCTCCACACATACACCTGTATGGTTTAAGAAAATTAGATGGCCACTAGGTGATTATCAACAACAATATCACCAATAAAACAATGTTGCAAATTGGAAAAATGAAAACTAACCATCATGAGTGTCAATGAATTGTTAAGGAATATGAATTTCGCAAATGATTCTGACAAATAAGGTATCATTCCCCCAATAAGAACAGTGTCTGTTAAAAATGTTGCTCCAAACAAAAGCATGTAAAAGAAATCTACAGTCCTTCCCCTGAAAGAGTTCTCCTCAACAAGCTTGCAGTATCGACCAAGAAAGAACATATGGAACAAATAGTCCAAATCTGGCATTACAATGAAACAAACATGTCAATAAATGCCCTGCTCTTTTGAATGCTAAATTTAAACATCTTCCACTGTACATAGAACATACGCTTGTACTTGTTCCTTCATCATCGTAGTTGAGAACAACAATCATTTGTAGGTGGCTTCTAATTATGGCTCTTGACTGAATAATTTCATCAGCGTAAATTTGTGAATGAGGCAAAAAATACAGGGCCAAGTAAATATAGTCAATTATCCAGGAGCCCAGGGCTAAAGAATATTCACAGAATCGTATTAAGTTTGGGCTCTGTGAGAAACATTGATTTTGGGTCAAGGCTCATCCCAAACTAAATCTTTATTTTTGATACATGATAAGCCCACTAGTTTAGTTTACAGTGTTTACGTGATTGTGGAAGAATGAACGTGAAACCCGTCCTTGTAAGTATTTGTATTTGAAACAAAACACTTCCTCCGGAATATATAAGCTCGTAATTGACAAGTTTTTCCAGTTCCCACACCACACCCCCTAATTACACTCATACAGCTATCAGAAAATGAGGACTAAGTAATTCACAAAAATCAGTATGAACTTATTACGATTGTATCCGAAACATAAACAAATAATTAATATTACTTTTGCATATTAAACGTCAGAAGTAAATACATTTTGATCCTAGGCTCAAAAGTTTCTGAAATAAAACTTAGTTGTCTGAGCTCTAAAAGATTAAAAATAGATGGAACCATTCATTGCAAAAGCAAGATGTCAGATGTCACTAAGCATTGAATTTATCCAAATTAAAATCATTGTCACCACATTGTAAGTTGTAACCATATATATCATATATCTCAGCACGAACCTCTTCTGCTCCCATATCTCTCTACATTATAATATTATATTGAAGCATGAACTGACGAAATAGGGGGTATGTGAGAAGAAAGAAATTAAGAAAAAAATTATTCTCACTTCGATGTCAATAAATACACTTCATACTGCAACATGAAAGTCATGTCAAGTTATTGAATATAAATAACTTTTTTTGTTGGAAGAGAGATGAGAGAGTGACAAATATAGACTTCAGACTCCCCATAGTTATTTGAATTAATAAAATCTAACCTCGGGACTACGTTAAAGGCATCAGACAGGACAAGAAGGTTACTTAATAGTGAAAAAGCTATAGGTCAGCATGTCTTAACGACAAACTTGACTATCTAAACTTTTATAGAGAAACAAAACCTACATTACCATCATGTATTAACCATAAACTTGCTAATTTGGTAATGTAGCTATTTGTGAACGTAAAAATTTAATGCAGAGATGCTCATAAAAATTAATGCAGAGATGCTCATATAGTCATACTCAGACATTACAGGTATGAAGAAAATCCGCAAATCATTTCCAAGCCTAGTAACTTCATTTGATCAACAATTCACAGGTTTTGACAAACAAGAACATTGTTGTTACTGTGGAGCATGTGTAAATGTAGAGGTATACTTGATGTGCCTTCCTCTACATGCTAACGAACCCATGTTTCGACAGTAAATCTCAAGCAGTATAATCAAGATGCAAAAGAGACACTCAAAGGAAACAACAAATTTTTACCAATATCAATCAGAAACTTAACCATTTTTCAGAAGAAAAGAAAATTAGTGATTGGGCGCCAGAACTGATACTGCTTAACCACAAGTGTTGGATGCAAGCACAGATTAAAGGGTGATATTATCTATGAAATTGTAACACAAAACAGCAAATACATAAGAATAGTAAACAATAGCTCCTCAAAATTACAACCCAATCAAAACAAAAAACCAAGCAATAATAATAAATCTTAATAAAAAAATCAAAACCAATCATTTTCATGCTAAATACAAAACTAAAACTCAGGATCTATCATTCAATGAAAGCACCAAAATTCTCAAATATGAACCAAACGCAGTTAAAATCCTCTCAAAACAAAGAAACCCATTTACCCAGGAACAAAATCACCACGCATTACACCATCAAACCCCCAAAACCCTTAAAAAGCACACCAAAACAATAAAAAATTCAAGCCCTTTCTATTGAAAAGAAAATAAAAAACACACAAAGAAAGGAAAGAGAGAGAGATAAAAACATCGAGAGAGCAACCGATTGTGGTGACGATAGTGGCTGTGAGATAGGTGCAGGTGATTGGCATCTGTTTGTACCATTCCTCTACAGGTTGGCCCATTATTCTTCTACAAATTTCTCAACAATTTGGTTTATGAAACAATTCTGAAAGCCCTCAAAACAAGACGAATTTCAATCTTCGGGAAAAGGGGATTTTTTATTCAGAAAAATTGGCGATGGTTTTCAACGACAAGGTACAGGAGACAGCTATTAAAATATAAGGCTGTATTTGGCGTAATATTTTTATCCATATTCTGGATCCTATTCTCCAAATAATGTTTGGCACATTATTCCAAAAATATTACCCTATTTTTTTAATTATTTTTAAACCCCATAAGGTTATTAATTTTACTAAATACCCCCTAAAAAAAAGTTTAAAAATTAACAAAAATACCCCTATCAACCCAACTTGTCAGATTCCAGCAACCACCGTCGGTGATAGCCGGAATCTGTACAACGGCCTAACTTCCGACCATAAATGACCGGAAGTTCACCGATGTGGCCTTTTCCGGCCAGATCTGGCCATCAGCGACGACCAAAGAAATGGCCGTCATTGACGGTCAACGACGGCCACATCTTTGGCCGTCGCTGACGGCCAAAGATGGCCATCGTTTGGCCTTTTCCGGCCGTCGACTGCCATAACAGACCGTAGATCTGGCCTTTTCCGGCCAGATCCACCATGGATCTGGCCAGAAAAGGCCATAACGACGTGTTACGGCACAGATCCGACCGGTCTGTGCCGTAACGAAATTTTTCTGCCAGATTCCGGCGGTGGTGGCCGGAATCTGGCACTGTAGGTGGTGGGGGTGTTTTTGTCATTTTATATATTAGGGTCTTTAATTAAATTAGTAAACCTAAGGGCTTTTTCACAAATTTTTAAAATTTACCTCGTAATACTCCCCTATCCAATAACCCAATACTATCCCCAAAATCCTATCCAAAATACTAAACCAAACGCACCTTAAGTCTTCATCGAAAATTGGGGGAGTTTATTAAAAAGACATTTGAAGTTTACATTTAATTAAAAGGCTATCNAAGGTATGTTTTACAACTTAGGGAATTCGATTTTCAATCAAGGAATTAGAACTTGGATAATAGATTCTATGATTTGGGTTAGCATATCTAGGTGAAATCAACACCCTAGCAATTTTTTAGCATTGTTTAATTAGTTAAGTTGTTGGGTTTTGCATTTGTATTTAGTTTGTTAATCTTCCATCAATCCAATTTATTGTTGCTTCAATTAGGACTTGAACTAGAAAAATCGATACTTAGTAACACTATCCTCGTGGGAACGATACTCACTCATCACTTTATTATTTTTTACGATTAGTGCACTTGCTATTTATGCATGTTGTAGTTACAATGCATCAATTTTCTATATCAAGTTGTGTTGAGTAAGTCTTCGGTAAGGTTATTGATTTGGTATGTCTGTGGTTGCAGCTGAACTGTGTGAAGTACATGAAATAACATGAATCGATTGGCTTACAGCTTCGGCCGAGCAGTGAGCATTTATTGACGGTATATTCATACTATGGACAATTAGTTTTTCCCTGTATTGTTGACGCTGAGTAACATTAAACGTTGATAGTTTGTATTTTGTTTAAATTTTGCTTTACTGTTTTTTCTATCATGCTATCTATTTGTTCCAGTCGATATGTGAGTATTTGTTTTGGGACTGAACGTTTTATGTTAACAAGGCTTGTACGAGTATTGTTTCTACTGGCTCTATTCTTAGGTGACACAATCAGCCCTCAACTATTATCGATTTGTGCTGCTTGGTGCATCGTTGTCAGAAAGTAGCATTATCCGATAGTAGTTTAGGTTTGATTTTGTGATTTATGAACGGAATCTTATTGTATCGGAGTTGGTCATTGTGGATGTCAATGATTCATTCAAGTCAGCAGGAAAGTCCACGACATAAGATTTGGTTATTCCGGTTCAGTGTTGCTAGATTGTGATAGTTGCTTTTGTGCAAGTTATTTTACCTGCATGAACATTTGCGGTTTGAAATTTAATTATGTAAAGGTTTATTGGTTGTATTCAATATAAGGTGATTTTGAGATATTCAACTGTGTCTCAATCATCTATGTATTTATTAATACTTAGGCAATATATCAAAGGTGTGCTTTCTGAATCATAATATTTTATGAGAATGAATTATAACAAAAAATCAATATTTTAAACAAATTATAAATGCAATTAATTACATCATGGTTATGGTTCGACAATGCAATGTAGACCTCCATGATACCTTCATCTGTTGAAATTTCAAGCATTCTTAAATGATGGATGAATTATATATCAGTGTTTGCCTTATTATTACCATTCTATAGCCAAATTGATGGTTTGACAATGAAGTTATCGACCACAGCCGGCTTTGAGGAATCATAATTATGGACGATGGTTAGGCAACGAATTCCATAGAATTTGTTAGACAATTTTTAAAGGTGCCTAAATATAATATTAATAAAAAAATTGAAACGATTTGAAGTCTCTTTCTGTTGAAAATTTCAGTATCAATATATAAACGATAAAGTTTATGACTTGCATTGTAATAGACCATTTCCTGTAAGATATATATTTAATCAAAATTGATAGGTACAGTGTACTGTTATGTGATACTTTCAATGTGATATTAGTATTAATAGTCAGGATATCAGAATTTTGGTTTAACTATGGGTTAATGTACTTTTTTTTTATTGATGTGTTCAGTATTATGATGATGTTTGGTATTCTGATATTTAATGTAATGTGATACTTTCAATGTGATATTAGTATTAATGGTCAGGATATGAGAATTTGGGTTTAATTATGGGTTAATGTACTTTCTTTTTTATTGAAGTGTTCGGTATTACGATGATGTTTGGTATTTTGATATTTAATGTAATGTGATACTTTCAATGTGATATTAGTATGAATGGTTAGTGTACTTTCTTTTTTATTGATGTGTTCGGTATTACAATGATGTTTGGTATTCTGATATTTAATGTGGTTCTTAATATTGTGTTTTTATTAAAGTGTTGATAAAATAGGTGGTATTGTTTGTCACATAATAGTATAAGTTTGTGTCATATGCGATTTAAATAAGAATTACAGCTTTCTACATAACAATTAGAATTTAATTTTGTTATTATTGTTTTGTTGTTTATTATGTGTTATTGAAGTTGATGCAATTTTGTGGATATATATTTATCTGAAAGAAATCAATACATTGTATTTGCTATGTATTATTGTTAATGCGAAATTAATGTGAATTGTGAAGAGTGTTTATCTGAATGTGAAGGGTTTTATAGATAACTCTTGAAATTAATGTGTTTGTACATCATTAATTCGTATATCAAGCTATCCGAATTTTGTCCATCCTTAAATCATGGGTGAGTATGCAAATCCATGGTTTAGCATTGTTCCTAGAAAAGTTGTAAGAAATTATAAATGTAATGTATCGTGATTATGGTTCGGCAATGGAATGAGGGTCTTGATGAAATTCTAAGCATTCTTAAATGATGGATAGATTATGGATTGGTATTTGCAATATTACCATTCTATAGCCAAATCAATGGTTTGACAGTGAAATTATCAATCACAGGAGGCTTTGAACAATTATAATTATGGACAATGGTTAGGCAACGAATTCCATACAATTTGTTAGTCAAATTTTTTACGATGCCGAACTATAATATTAATAAAACATGGAGTGACCTATTTTCTCTTTGAGTTTGTAGTAGCAAAGTTGATTGATGCATTGTACTGTTATGTGATACTTTCAAGTGATATTGTTGTTAATGGTCAAGATATCATAATTTGGTTTAATATGAGTTATGTATTTCCTTTGATGATGTGTGTTGGTATTATGATGATGTTTGGTATTCTGTATTTAAGTCGTCTTAATGTAGTGTTCTCATTAAGTGTTGTGATGAAATAAATGGTATTGTTATGTCACATAAAGTATAAATTTGTGTCAAATGCAATTTAAATAAGAATACAAATGTCACATTAAAAAATTAAAAAGATAAAAAGATCCCAAATGTTATTTAATTTTGTTATTATTGTTATTTTTTATTAAGTGTTATTGTGTGATGCAATTTTGTGGATAGATATTTATCCAGAAGAGATCGATACATTGTATTGCTATGCATTATCGTTAATGCGAAATTAATGCGAAGTGTGAAAAGTGTTTATCGAATGTGAAAAGATTTAACATAACTTTTGAAATTAATGTGTTGATATATATGTGGTTGTTTATGTTGTCGTACACGATTAAGAGGAATAAGTAGAGGTATTTGAAAGTACATCATCAAATTGTTTCAAAAAAAAAAAAAAAAAAGCAAACAGATTGCTGGCATAGTTTAGATATAGTTCGTGTTACTGGTAAATGTGATACCTTCAATTATTTGCATTCTTCTATTGTGATACTGCATATATGTGTTGGGTTATGAATTCGTCTATAAAAGCTACTAACTTGCGTATAATAATATTATACAATTGTAATAAAGAAATTGACGAACAATATTGTAGTGACGATTGTAAATCAGTAAGTTCTTTTCTAGAGTTTAAAATTACAATGCTGAATAAAAAATCCCAGATACTATTAGATTGTGATAAGAAATATTTATAGTATGAATTAGATTATAACATTTGCTTTAATTGTAAAATCTCCATTGGGTATCGTTATTTCTTTTATTTTATTGTATTAATGATGAATTTTTTTTTGTTTGCAATTCTTATCAATGTCTAATAATTTTCTTAAAGATATTGATGAATCAAGAGATGATTGGATAGTTACTGTCAGAGTATCTAGATTGTGGGAGTGTAGGAATTTCAGAATGGGTGATGAACTTATGAGCCTTGGCATGATTTTGATTGATCAACAGGTATAAAATATACTTTAAAAATAATGTAAAGATTTTTATTTGCGATTTATACAAGCTTGTTGAAATTTGTAGTTTTCATTGGTTTTTTAGAATTAAGTTATGCACGGCTCGATACCAAAGAATAGGATTGCAAAGTTTAAAAATCAGCTTCATGAAAGGTCGATATATTTGATCAGACATATAAAAGTTATACCATTTGCTCCCTCTTACAGACCGGTTGAGGGAAAATATGGTATACAATTTCTGATGATCACGACTATAGAAGAATTAAAAGAACCAAGGATTGTTATTCCGAGATATAAATTTGATTTTGTTGGTCTTGATGATCTTCAGAATATGA